TTTGCTGAAATTTTGGGGTCAGAATTTGACATAAACCATATGAAAGCAAGGATCCATTCTGGTTTATATCAGTAGTTCAGGCTGCTGTTGAACGGTGTAATGGTGTGCAGAATATTTTTTGGAATGCTTTAAGCCCCTCATTTAAATAACCCAACCTTCCTGAAATCATGTCCTTCCCTTTGTGTGCACAGTCTACCAGTCTTTTGGTGGCTGCTTCCAGCAGTTTAATGCGCCATATCACAAAGCTTAGATCATTTCAAACTGGTTGCTTGAACATGCAGTGAGTTCACTGTACAAAAATCATCTCCATAGTCACCAGATCTGAGTCAGATAAAGCACCTTTGGGATGTGGTGGAACATGAAATTCTCATCATGGATGTGCAGCCGACAAATCTATCTGATGCTATCATGTCAGTATGGACTGAAATCGCAGAGAAATGTTTCCAACATTCCTTTAGTTTCCTTGTTGAAATTCTGTGTTTAATCAGTGTCAAGAATAATAATGAAGCAGTTCTGAAGGTAAAAGGGGGGTCCAACCGAGTAATAGCAAAGTATACCTAATAAAGTGGCTGTGAGAGTATATACTTTTCTACACATGAATAATTATAAATATTTAAAATATGTATATTGCTTTTTTTCTATTTCCAATTATGGACTTGAAGACTGAAGGCTCTGAACATTTACCATTTCAGTCTTTTTAACAGTTTCTATCTCAGTTAGCTGTCTTTGCATTACCAATGCGACCTGATACTTAAGAAATTGCAAATGACAGAACTTAGAGAGAATGTACGTTAAAAACTCAATGTGACATCATTTTATAATATTAATATCATTATTTCCTGCCTGTCAAATTCTATTTGCACAGCTATCTCATATCAAATTGGCTTTTGTAAGCATGCATGCGTGCGATCATTCATCTGTGTACACTTATGTTTATGTGTAAATTCGTGTGTCTTGTGTGTCATGCAAAGGCCAATTCTTTAATGTGTTTGCCTGCCTTCTGGCTCACTGTTAAACCCCTGCATTGCAGCACTGCCAGTGGGATTTCAGCAGGCACGGCCCTTCTCTCTCTCTCTCTCTCGCTCTCTCTCTCTCGCTTACCCGCCATCCTCACAATAGAGAGATTAAATTTGGGCCAGATCCCTCCTGCGTGGAAAGCTCCTTGCTCACACATGCACATCTTCCAGTGTTCATATGCTACGCTTCAGAGACCCAGGGCAGCTGAGAGCCCCCAAAAGTCTCCTGTAGCAACCGTCATGGAGAGCCACGTGTCTTGGAGACAGACAGAGAGAGTAAGAGACTGAGAGAGAAAAAGAAAACATGGGATCCTTCGGGGCTGAGCAATTCAAGTGCTGTCTGAAAAGATGCACAGTAATCTCGATAAAAAATGGGAAGGCTCTGTAGTTTCATACTGTTTGACTTTTCCAGTTGTCGCTGGACTACATGGTGATCCTTACCAAACAGAGATCATCCAGGGAAAAAGACTAATCAGAGGATTCTTTGTGTTAGACATCAGTGAGATTTGATCAACGTGATTTGGAAATTTTGCAACTATTTTGATGATGGGTGTATGAAATATTAACGCAAGTAAAATTTTGTCTTAATGTAATAGCCGATTGGTCATCCTGCCCCTGAAATTTTGCAGTGTTATCATATGTTTTGAAGTATTTTAGTAAGCACTGCAGCAAGCTAATGCTAACGTCCCATTGGGAAAACAAAAACAAGTGGTTGGAGACCACAGCACAAACACAGTTATTGCAACTGTGTGAAATGAACTTGGAACTGCATTACCTTTGAAATGTTTTGTTTGAAATGGTTGCTTTAAAGATGGGGACCAGACCTTTGACTGCTTGCTGTTAGTTGCCATCTTCAAAGTGACTTTTGTCCGTGGACGTGGTGGTAAAGTCTGTTATCAGTTTGCGACTGATTGGGGGGAAGTTGGTAATAATACGTTGGTTGTTGTCAACATAGATGTTCACACTGAACAGAAATTCTCATTAATTACTGCCAATCAATTAAACTACTAATATCAGTTTGAAGTACAGTCAGAACCTCATAATTTGAAACAGAAATTCCTCCACAAATAGCGACATAGTTACTGTAAGTCATAATTTAACAGCAAAAATGACATTTTGACTTCCTGACTTACTTATGTACAGGAATATATCCAGAATACAAGTTGGCAACCAGCTGAGTTGAGACACCCGTTGCAGCTGAGTTGCAGCGATCAACGAAGAATGCTTGCAACGTGCTGGCAACCTGTCTGTGTTTAGAATTATTTGCAAACCTTTATTGATTGGACTGAGTGGGATTGCAGTGTGAGTCAGACTTCAATTGTTTGGAGACACCAGGCGGCCTGTGCAATCACCTTGCAACTGAATTATTGTATTTTGTGTATCTTGCATGTCACATCTAGCAATTAGTCAACTGTAACTCAAGTTCATGTGCTACAAAAATAACAGTTGATGATGTATATTCTGTGCCATGTTGTAGTGTGATAAACAAACGGATTGCAATTACCTAGGTATCTGTACTATAGTTGACCTTTGTCAGTTTGGCTCGACATGTTCATTTTGATAGGAGTCCACTGCCAGTATGGTTCACTGATGTGGGCTTATATGGGAAGCAAAAAAACCCCAAGTCATTATCAAATTCAGTTATTTTTCCTCTGCGTAGTTTGGTCCCTTGAGGGCATAAATAGGTGAGGAAGGATCCAATTATTTTCACCACGAGGCAATTCCCTTTAACATGATTGTATCTGTGATTCTGCACATCAGAGTCTGTCTCTCTTGTCAGGTAGCTAATTTATGATGTAGAGTGAGATTTTACTTTCTATTTGTCCTTACAGGGTAAAATCTATTTTTGAGATTTATTTCTGAGATTCTTTTGGATTATGGTATTATATAAGCATGCAGTACAAAAAAACAACTTCTCTGTTAAGGTTTAAGGTTGAGTTAGATTGAATGTTTTTGTTTTTTGTTTTTCATTCTGCATTTCTGTCACATTTCTGTCATTTGACCTGTCTTTTTAGGGTACAAAAAAATGCCGCTTGTTTTCTTGGACTCTAGCTGCAGCGTGAAGCAGTGTCGAAGCACTGCTTTTCTCCTTACTGTCACCAGTGCCCCTCAGCTAGCTGCAAACAGCTCACTTTGACACTTTCACAGTGTTTCTATGAGGACTGCGGGTATTTCTCTGTGCTGAAAGATAAAAAAGTCTGTATTCTTCCATGTACCTTGAAGTTATTCCTTTGTGTAGTCCTGATATTTTTCATCAGCCATCTTGTTGTCTACATCTGCCTTGGGTGTTAAAAACAAAAAAACAACACCATAAAACACGAGCATGAGAAAAAAATCTCTTTCAGTACTGTAGCTGTGTTAGATTTTCTTGTCTCAGCAGGTCCAAAGGATGAATTGATCTCAGTGGTGATCTTGAGAGTTTTACTGTTTAGAAAAGTCAAATGAATGTATAACATACATGAAATTCACAGAATAAAATTGGATTTGGTGATGGCAGGTTTAAATTGTATGGATTGTTCTCCTTCACTGAAGTGCACAAAATGAAGTTGGTTATCTCTCCCTGTGGATGTCTTTCATGATACAATTACAATAAAGCAATTAAGTCCACTGAGTCATGAAATTGATTGTTTTGCCAAAACAGAAGAAGGAAATTGGGCCCCAAATAAAAATATCCTCTGAGGTTTAAGCATAAAGATGGAATTTGACTGATTGTAGAAGTTCATCATTGCTCTTGTCAGCAAAGTTTGATTTGCAAGATCACTAAAGAACAGATGATCTTAGAGCTGCATCGTAATGGGGGAACATTTATTCGGCTTTCTTTGACAAGTGAATTGATGTGACTTTCATGTCTATATGCTAAATATAAATGCACGTAGATACTAAGCTTAGCTTAGCATTTGATCTGCATTTTTTGGTGCAGATTTACAAAAAAAGGAAGAAGAAAATTAAGTGTGATAAACAGCTTTAGAAATGTTTTTGGAGGTTTTTGTCAGCTTATATGAAGTCAACCAATTCTGGGTGTGCAGAGAGTAAAGAACTAAAACTGTTATTGATTTTGTCAGCTTACTCTTGGCCAGAAAAGTAATAAGTGAAATTCCCAAATTATCAATAACACCTGTAGCCTTTGACTATTTTTAAAGTAAGGAAATGTCAGACATTTCCTGTTTTCGACACTGATGGTACCAAAGGTGATTTTCTTCACAAAATTCAGCAAACAATGCACTCCACAAATGGGAGACATATTCCCTGTGTTAAAATCTGTTATTTGTCTAACCCAGCTCTAAGAGTCATGGTGAACAACTGTCTTGTTTTTGACAAGAAATCTGATTTGATATGCTTAAAGGTAAATGCTTTTTTATAGTAAATCACACCTTGGAGATGTTGTGGCACATAGGTTTGGAGACAAACTAAGCAACAATTTCTGTGTTGTGAAATCAAAGCTCTGTTGACTCATTACAGTGTCATTACGGTAATAAAAATGAATTAATTCAATAACTGCTGAGCAGTAGTGTGCAACGGATAGCTGTCAGGGATAATTCATTCATTCTGCCATTTTGGGGATCAAAACAGGATTTATCAACTTGTTTGTGTGAAAAAAAGGCAGGCAGCTATCAGTATTTATTGGCACAAAATGATGATGATTTGCTGGAGTAAGATTTTGTAATGTGCACTAGTAATATGTGCTCACCCAGTGGGATTTAATGTCATATATTATCTTGAAATGCTTTCAAATCACCCAAAAGACGAATAAAGTTTTGGTTGTCTGTCCCTGTGTGTTAGCCCTGCGACAGACTGGCGACCTGTCCAGGGTGTACCCCGCCTCTCGCCCTATAACAGCTGGGATAGGCTCCAGTGGCCCCCGCGACCCTGAAAAAGGATAAGCGGAAGTGAATGGATGGATGGATGGACTACTAAACAAGAGCATTTCCTCATAGATTGTTCTTTTACTCCAAGGATAAAAATGCCATTTTCTTTCTCTTACAGGATTTACATCTGACAACACTCTCACTGTGATTACTTCCAGATATACCTTTCAAGATTCAAGCTTTTGGCTGTAAGTATAAGACAAGCAAAGGCATACTATGTATTTGACTACATTAGTTGGGGGTGAGCTGGAAAGTTCACAGAGGGATAAAGAGAGAAGGGAGTGAGGGGGAGGAGAAGCTTCTCCACTTCAGCAGAGCGGTCCAGAATCATTGCTGTGACCGTTCTTTTTAAGCAGAGACAGATCACTGCACATTGTTACATGATTCCATCCTCTGCAGCTCCACTTTCAGAAATATCATTCATTCTCCTAGTCATTTCAGAAATCCAGCTTGCCTCTGTGCCCTTACTGTCCACTGAAAGCACGGCCTACATGGCAGGCTGTCTATGGCTGGATGCTCTCTGAAACTGTCTGGTAATATAACATTCTCAAGAGCTTTGGGGTGAAACAGTAGTTGACCCGAAAGAAAAGTCCTGTTGAATTTTATTATTTGAGAGATAGAAAATAACTCTTTCTGAAGAACGGCTGCGTTTGTCTCACACCAAATTTCTTTTCGGTAGAATGTTTGAGCTACACAGCAAGTCCAAAAAAAATGAAATCACCGCTGCATTATGAAATATGTAAATCGAATTTTAGCCCTGTGTGATCACATGTTTTGGACTGCATTAGATGTCAGCATGAAACGTGAGTCGGGCTTTCCCCGCTCTACCATCTGTTCTTAGAAAATCTTTGCATGTGCCAGGGAGGAGGGAGCCCACTGCAGTGTGTAGTGAGCGGGAAAGGCGTGGTTCGCATGACGGCGCAGCCCACTGTGAGCAAATATGATTTACTGTAGGATTTGCCCGTCTCCAGTATACCCTGCACACTCCAGCACTCAGCTGATTAATCAGAATCATTTCCATGAGTGATGGAAGCTCCAGCCTTGCAGGGGCTACAGACAGCTAATAAACCCCAGCGGGTAACAGCCACGCCTTGAAAGATGCTTACTTGCTTCTGCCTCTATACTGGCTCTATCCATCTGCCATCATTCAGTCCTCACTGCCCTGTGTCAGCCTCATTGTTATTAATATTGATCAGCTCATCTGTTGAATGAGAATTCATACCCCGGGGACCAGTGGCGCACAATTAGTTAGTAAGAGCTGGGGATCAGCTTCAGGATTGAATGTGGCACCATAGGCGAATAACAAAGATTGATGCCATTATTTAAATGCTGATCGCCTGGTTTGTAAACTGTAAAAAACCTTCAAGTTCATGTGGTAATTCTGTGAGAAGAACATGTGAGAGAACATGTAAATGAAAGCACCAGTAAGTTCTAAAAAATGGGATAAAAGATGTTGTTTTGATGAAATAGTAATAAAATAGTTGTCAGTTATGATCAGTGGTCGATATGAAATTCATTATAACTTACATCGCCTTTTAACGGTGTATATATGCGAAGATTAACTCTTATCAGTTTGATTTTCAGATTGTTTGTGTTTTACTTAAAGCTGCCAAATCATTATAATAATAATAGATATGATAAGTATATGTACTCACTTGTGGAGTTGTTAAAGACCCATTTTTTAAAACAAACATTACCAAAATATGTCCTTTAGTCCTAAATTATGTTTTTCCCCCTTACAGTACCCCTTTAATCTTTGATCATTTCACCTGCTTCTTCTTAACAGCAGCGTGGAAGCACACATGTATCTGTATGGCTCTAGCAGTGAGGTTTCCCTCATTGTGTCGGATCTAAAATGAGCCAACACAATGAAACACAAAGTGTTGCATTGTTGCTCTCATCTCACATCTGCAGCACCGCATGTCAGCAAAGATACAGAACCCCCAGTTTAAATCCTTGACTGCTAGCCACAGCATGAAATATTTACCACAAGAACATGAAGGCAGCAGTCACTAAAAAGATTTGGAGACAGGGCAACAGCGACAACACTGAACCGCTTTATGCAAGCTACATGCATAAATGCAAAGATTACGCTTAATAAAATAAATATGAAATGATGTCATGTGTTTTTGCACATTTGCTGTATGTGCTGTGTCAGGACCTATAATTGTTGCCTGGAAATGTTTCCTTTTTCTACTCACATACACAGAAAATAAGCTTCGTGGTTTCTTTCTCCTTATGTGCTTTTTATTTTCCCCTTCCCTTTCGATGTTCTATTTTAGTACTTAAAGAGAAAAGCAATACACAAAAGCACACACAGAAACACACTCCTAATCCAGTAAATACACGTACAAATAGGGAATCCACATGAAAAATAAAAAATCTACTGGACCTGGCCAAGGGTGTAATGATGTGCTCACTTTGGATAAGCTGCTATTGACGTAGCTGCTGCAGAAAAAATCATTTTGAGACAGTGATACACACAATTATTAGTTATATTAGGGAGCTTTTGTAGCATTTTTCTTTTAGCATTTGTTTTCACACTTTCTATTTCTTTCATTTTTTTTATTTGTACTTGGATTCTTGTGAATGTTTGTAGTGGAGTCACTGCAAGATTCTGGTTTCCTCCTGAATGTAGTCACATTTTTGGAGCTACATGAGTTTAATATTGCACAGAAAAGCACATGGTGCTACATGTGATTTTGTAGAGAAGGCTGGGTAGTGCATTTTAATGGCTGCCTATAGTTATTGACTGAGCAGCTCCTAATACATGACTGTGAGCTCTGTGCAGTTAGTCTTCACAACACGCAGCCCTTATTAAATATGGATTCTAAGTTGCACTGAACCTCTCTGGAGACTTGGCCTGCTTAGTTCAAAGTAAGGTCTGTTAGAGTTTTTTTTAATACTTATTACTCAATGAAATTATGCAGATGATTACTAGATTATTATTGTATTGAGAATCTGCTGCTGCAGCAATAGTCGGGAGCAAACAAATTATGATGAGAGCGTTGATACATTTGCCACTAAAAACCCTTCTGTGTTTCACATTTCAATGAAGAGAAGCCATTTTTGCTTACTACGGGTGAATCCAGCATGCTATGAATCTTCAGCATATCATTATGCTGTTTGCACTCTTCAGATACCGATTCAGACTAGGGCACAAGGCTATGAAATATCTCTTATAATGTGAAAAAGATAGATCGACGATGATGGCAGGATATTGTCACATTTGTTAATTTGCAGAGCTGGTCTGTAAATTAGCAGACAGGAAGGCTGTCATTTTACTTTCACCCTACTGAAAACTAGAGGGAGGGATTGTGTCTCTGTGATTTTTAAGAACATATTTCAGTTTTTGTTGTTGTTGTTGTTGTTGTTGACAGAAGACCAGAAGACACAGATAAAGCCAAAACCAACAATAAAAAGATCATGATAGCAAGTGCTTTGTCTAGCCAAGGTCTGGTACAGCTTATTCCTCAGCTTTCACTTCCTTATTAATTAAACACACACAGACACAGACATAAACACACGCATGCATATTAGTGAGTCACACTCTTGGATTGATGATTGAGCACTGTAGTCATTTTGAATCAATTCCTTAATTACCCTCCTGCTGCTCTAGCAACTCACTAATACCAATTGTGTATCAGTGTACAGCTGAACAAAGATGCAAAAACATTTTTTTGAGTTTGCTGTAAACCATAAAATCAGCTGGTTAGTAAATTAGCCTTTAAAAATAAAACTCAAATTGTACATTTGCTAGCTGTTTTTAAAGATCCACCCATTCATCCATCCATCCATCCAACTGTCCTATCGCACCTGTTGTAAGGCAAAAGGTCTGCCAGGCCTAAAGCAGAGAGACTTGCGGCCATTCACACCTAGAATTTGAAAAGAAGCCGATAGGAAACCATGAAAGTGCAGGCTGGACATGCAAATTCCACAAAGAAATGCCCCATCTGGCACTTTGGGATCAAACCCTCTTGCTGTGAGGCGACAGTGCTAACCACTGAACCACTGTCATTAACGGTATTAGTAAAATTTGTTATTAAAGAAACTATTAAAGGGGTGGCTGTGGTTTAGGAGATAAAGCAGGTTGTCCATCAATTGGAAGGGGAAGGTGAGGATATATGGAGTGGACAAAGATGTACAGAGCCCTCTACTCATTTTTCTTTATGTGAACTTTATTGGAATACCATTACCTTCCCTTTAATTACCAAATCACTTCTAATTCAAAAACAGCGAGTATCTATTACGGCCTCGACCCAGCACTGAGAAATGGCAATGTCACAGAAAGGGAGCAAATTGCGATCCTCCCTTCCAGATGTATGTTTTGAAATTGCAGCAACCCACCCCCCTCTCTATCCCTACCCCTTCCCTTTTTAGTGATTGAGACTTTATTGATTTTTGGTTCCAGCGCTCATTGCAGCCCAATAAGGTGGATGATTCACTTAGGGGAGGATGATAATTCCCAGTGACACACAGCAGTGCCCCAAGGGCTCCAAACTGTCTGGTTGACCATTGGCGTCAAGTGAAAGTGTGCATTACATCTTCTCATTAATCCAATAAAACGCCCACTGTAAGGGGAAAAAAAGCTGTGGATTTCGATGGTTTTGCAATATTTACGCAAAGAATTATACAGATAAGATTCTATTTATCAAGCTTCACAGCTTACAGTATGTAAAGCATGGTGGAAAGGTTTTTAACGTTATATATCTATATATTTATATAAGGTTTAGGTTGGTATGAATATCTAGAATAAATCTTTTATTATGACAGTAGCAGGGGTGTTAGTCAAAGAACATAAACAAGATAAATGAAAAGAGAGCCAAAGCAGCAAACTACTGCTGAGGTAAGCAGGCATCTTAGTGTGTGCATATTATTGGATAGTGGTGTCTTCTGTAATATATCATTTTTTTCCTCTGTCCTCTTTTCATTTCCCCATTTTTTTTGTTGTTGTTTTTTTCAAACACTTGCAGCCTTGTTAGCTGAGGGACACATCCGAAACCAATTGAGTCCTTCAGCAGCAGTGGTCTTTGGAATAAGGATATGGATGCCGGTCAAACTGTAGAGCATCTGGCTGCTTTTGGATTGCCCTTATGCATCGGTGCACAGATTGCTGCATACAGCACCTTGTGAGCAGCATCACAAATCAGCTGTCCGAGCAGCGAGTGCTGGAACGGAGAGAGAGATT